TCCTGTGTTATTGATACTTTCATGTTATGGCCAGATAGTCTTCTGAATAAACTGAAATGAGGACAGTCAAGGCTGAAATGAAATGGCTCATTAGTGCCCCAATCCTGCATGGAACTGGGAGACGCATGCGTTTTCATGGTATTCTGTGGTACACCAACTGCTGCTTTGCAAGTCATTGCAGGATGGGCCCTTGACTCTCAGAGAATATAGGGGAGTGGGAAGTTCCCTATTAATTAAATAGGGAATTGCCCCCAAATTAATTTCCTGGTAGAATCCAAGCAATTGTGCTATTACTTCCCGGCACTGAAAGATTTGAATTCTTCACTTTATAGTATCCAGCGTAAACAGCTGGTTTTCTTTTAGGGGCAACATTTCCTTGGCAAGCCTCTGCAGAAACAGTATCCAAGAGACAGTTTGGTTTTATTAAGAAACGTTACGAACTCTTTCATGTGCAGAGTTCTCATTTTTAGACTAAACCTGCAGGAAACTTTGGGTAATAATGTGAAGTGGACACAAGGGATCTGTAATCATGCAAATGAGCACTAAAATGTTTAATGAAGAGGATGGGTTGCAACTTTGATCGTGCTCCAGAAGCCTCTGTTGTATGCAGCAATGTCAATAAAACTCAGACACCTGAGTCTGCAAAGAGGTAATATGGGGTGAGAGAAGCTGGGAAACACCTTGGTGGTACAAAAAAAGAGAGAGATTGCTGAAAGGCAATCTGTAAGCTGCTGCTTAGTGTAACAATGAGCATTGCACAGCGAGAGGTTTTCATCTAGCTGAATCAACAAGTTGTAAATGAGGTCATGAGCTAGTTAATATGTATGTTCTTGTCTAGCAATGTTTAACCTAGGTTTTCTGCTTATTATTGCTTTCACAGTTTATTTTCTTCAGTGGGGCCTAAATCTTTACCATCTTGCTGCAGAGACAGTAGAAGTTCTCTGCTTCCTTGTGCTCCTGAGTGGTGGGTCTGTGTATTTGTAAGGTTGGCAGAATGGGTCTTCTATAGTGCTTCTTACAGCTGGAAGCCTAAGGGTGCAATTCTGTTTCTTGGTGGCCTAGCACTAGGGCACTACTGTATTCAGGAAAGAGTTTATTCTCTTGTCTTTATCTTTTTTTTTTTTTAACATGTGTTAGAACGGTTTCTTTACCAGGGCAGGAATTGGGCTTCACTGACCCTGCTGCTTACACTTAAACAGAAGTGTACTTGGTGAGTTACAAGGGACAGTACACCAATTGTTAAGAGTGATGATAGCATGCATGGCCTAAATCAAGGGAGGGGAGTGCTCGATGAAGACTAGAACTCAAAGCTTTGAATGGAAGTGGGTGTTAGTTACTGTTAACCCATGTCTAAAGGTTACCCAGTCAGATCACTGTTTCTCAAACTGTAAATCCTTGTGCATAGAGAATCTCTCCAAAGGGATGTATGTTCCCCACGTCATGTTTTCCTCTGACAGAGGAGGTGCAAATGGAAACAGAATGTAATGATTTAGATGAGAAAGCTGCTGTGAGAAATTTCATTTCCTGGCTCTTTGTTTTGAAGTAGAATCTCATTTACGCCATACACTAATTACATCATTTGTCTGGGTGAGAACAAAGGGAATAGAATATTACTGCTAGTATGTCTGAATTTGAACTCATCTTTCTTTTCTTCTGCAATGAGACAGTTTGGTAATGAATTATTTGCCCCCCACCCCCCCTTTTTTTTTTTTGGCAGAGGCATTGTTGATAAAAATGAGGTTGGTACCACTTTGGGAATAGGGCCTCTGCAGCAAAAATGCAAATACTGCAGTATGAAGTGTGTCGAAATCTCTCTCTTATCAAGTCACAAGAGGAAATTGTAAGTAAGAGTGAAAGGGAACTATGGTAAATGTTTCTCCCTCTCTTCAAAATCTAATGATTAGAAATGGCTGCTTCAAAGTGAACACTTAAATTCCAGCCCAAACTCAAGAGCGGTGGAGTTCATTGCTCAAGCTTCTGCAGTAACTTTGGCTGTCTTGTGCTGCTTTCCTGTGCAGTATTATAAGCATCTGTCCTGTTTTGAAGCCCTCTGTTTAAAAGGCACAGATGTGATCATAACCTTCTCATCTTTTGGTTTGTATGTAGACTTCTCTTTCACTCCTTCAATGTAGCTTACTATATTTTAGTTAAAGTTGTGATCATGTAAAGAATAATGATCTTAAATCACTTCTAAAATACTCCTGTGTAACACGGCTCTGTTGGAGTGCAGTTACTGCCCTCTAAAATGTCTTCCTTTTACAGAAATTATCCTAGCACTGCTCAAGTACATCATCATGTGGCCAAGAAGCAGGCTTTCATGTGATAGAATAAGGTAAAGAAGATGGCAGAGCTTAAATGCAGATGCAGTAAACAGGTATTCTTAGACTATTTATAGAGTAATAGAGGAATAAAAAACTGCATAATAAACTCCATTTAGTTCTCCACCTGAAGGTGACTCAGGGGCTACAGTGAGAAGGAAGGGTTTAGAGAGATTCGACTCGAGTGCTGGAATGATACGTGGTTGTGCCACGTGGGTTGTTGTGCAGGGAAAACTGTCCCTAACTAGGCAATCAAGCAGAGCTGAGGTGTTAAGAATGTCTGCAGATGGTGTGAGAGCTGTTGGAGCTGACTCGTGATACTCTGGTGTGCTGCAAACTAGTTAAATGTCTTCCTGGAGATTCTGCTGAGGAGTTCCTGCTCTTGTCATTGGTATATTCAGTGGAAGGAAGGTGTGAACAGAGAAGATAAATTCCATAAAATACAGGTGTTTGCTAAGAAGACTGACAAGGTAGAGCATCTGTGTTGTATTAACGAGAAGCATATTATTCTGTATAAAACAGATGCTAGAAGGAAACTGTTGTAGTGCTGGGTTTCAGGCCCCTTAAAAAAAACTCAAGTCACAGATTCATAGAATGGTTGGGTTGGAAGGAACCGTTAAAGGTCGTCTGGTCCAACCCCTTGCAGTGAGCAGGGACATCTTCAATTAGATCAGGTTGCTCAAAGCCCTGTCCAACCTGACCTGGAATGTTTACAGGGATGGGGCATCTGCAGCCTCCCTAGTTAACCTCTTCCAGTGTTTCATCACCCTCATGGTTAAAAATTTCTTCCTTATATCTACTCTGAATCTACTCTCTTTTAGTTTAAAACCATTACCCCTTGTCCTATTGTTACCAGCCCTATCAAAAAGTCTGTCCCTATTTTTCTTATAAGCCCCTTTTAAGTACTGAAAGACTGCAGTAAAGTCTCTGTGGAGCCTTCTCTTCTCCAGGCTAAGAGAACCCCAACTCTCTCAGCCAGTCGTCACCGCAGAGGTGTTCCATCCTGTAATCATTTCTGTAAATGATCAAATGGATACTGTACAGAAACTAGCGATGGTGACTTGGATGATACATTTTAATCAAAGCAACTATCAATTATTTCAGCTTTTGAAAAGGCACATCCTCAGACAAATATGCAACTTGTCACATCTACTTATTAAAGTACTTCAATAATTAAATATGTAAATTGTGTATTTGTATTTGTCTGTTGCCACTCGTGTCATCTATTATATCTGAATTGATCTTTGGCATACTGTGGGTCTGATGCATTTTCTAGGAGCACGTTGGGAGTTACGTTCTTGAAGACCTAACTATTGGTAGAATTTTACAGAGGTGGCTTTTTGAAGGTGGCAGATATTAAGTAGCCTTGAAATACTTCTGCATAAATATTGACTGACTCTGAAATTGTATCTTTTTCAAATATTGGAACATACTGTGTTCCCAGACTGTTTTATAGTAGCTGATTGTCCCGCTGCTTGTGAGTGCTTAATCTAGAGTTACATTCTTAAGTATTTTTAAAAAGCTCAGAGTATAAATTAACTCAGTTAAAAAGGCTGTGCCCGGTGTTGCTGAATAGATGGATGAAACTTTAAATGTAATGCGACTGGTATAGCTGTAAGTGTCAGGATAAGTTCTTCTATAGTGTTTTGTTCTTAGTTGCAGGGAAGTTGTTACCTGTTGCTGGGTTTTTTCCTAAATGGATTTTGGTGCCAGGTACTTAACCTGACCTTCAGAAAGAGCATGAGTGCACTGCATTGTGATGGAGAGGTTGAAAATACATATTAGAAAGGGCACCACGTGCTGGGTTTTTGACCTGCAGAGTTTGGGAAGGAGAAGAGGATGGGCATGTCCCATCCAGTTGTGGACTTCAAAGTACTGCTTTATTTAAGTATCTTAGTGAGTGCAGGTATGAAAACAAGGATCAGTATTCCGCTTGTTGGAGCGGCTGCTGAGCATCCAGGCTATATTTTTTGAAGAGTGAATCTGTATCTGCATCGGCTCTTTCCACAGTCTTACTAAATGCTAACAAGAAGTGAAGGAACTGCTGGTGTAAATGCCTACAAATCCTAGGCTGTGCTAAGTCTTGTCCTTGATTTATGCAACACTGATAGCTTGAATGTGCTTTAATATTGCTAGTATGGAGAACAGCCTGTGTGTCCCCATCTCAAATAGTGGACATGCAGAGTGTCTTTAAACCATGAAGGTATAGTGGAAGAATTAAAATGCGTAATGCTAATCAGCATGGAAAGGTGTTCTCTATGTCCTTTGCTTGAAGAAAAGGATTTTTTTACATCAATTGTCTGAATTTGTTGGATGGATAGGCTTTTTTCCCTGTGACATTGAAACTTGCTTTCGCTTGGAGGAAGAGGGATACCTAGGCCTGTTTTCCCTTTGTTACATAGGTTATGTTAATTAAGTCTTGTTAAAATACCGTGGATCTAGATTGTCATCTTACAGAAGCTGGTAGAGCTATTTCTGTCCCTGGGGAAAGAAGAAAAAAAAAAGTGGCAAGTTTTTTGTGCTTTGTGTTTTGGTGAGAGGGAAATGTAGTTACGTGAATTTTAAAACTAAATGAAAACAAAAGTGGTTAAAGATATCTGTACAACTTGAGTGTTAATTCATATTAAGAAATTTGGGATTAGTAGGGTTTTTTAAAATTTCAACCTCTGCTTTTTGTTGCAGGTTACATCTTAAGTGTTGTGCTCCTAACTTTACCACGGCAACACCTGGTTCAGCTTTACCTATACTTTTTGACTGCACTGCTGCTTTATGCTGGGCACCAAATTTCCAGGTAAGAATAAATGGATTAATTTTGTTAGCTTGGTTTGGGAATTAGAAAAATGGCTGATACTTTGTTAATATCTTGTATAAATGGCATAGATCTGGTCTTGTGGAGGCCTTTTTTCTATGTCAGACACTTAAATATTTCTTGCTGTTCTTTGCCTTGAAAAAGTTTACAGAATTAAATATGCAGTCAGGTAGTTATGATGTATTTTCATTGACTTAAAAGGAATTTTGTGCTACATTTCACTAGAGTGTAATGCCCATTAATCAGAGAGGAGAAAACACTTACTGCAAGACTAAACATGGCCTCTGATGTTGTAATCTGAGTTACTCAATGGCTCAACTAACATGCTTTCAACACTGGAGCATTCTACAAGGCAGACAGGACATTACTTTTACTTTCCTGGCGCCTACAATGAGAAAGAAAATAGAGATATGGAAGATGGTGAAAGTAAAGTAATAGTGGAATTTATTCTTAAATTCATCATTGTTTATGTAATATATTTTACAACAACAAAAAAAAGAAAGGCATTTTGAATCTAAAACGCAGAGCAAGAGGCTGAAGAACTCTTGGAGTTCTGTCTTGAGTTAGACAAGACAGTCCCGATCATCTTTGTGTGGTTCCAGCTAAATCTGTTGAAAGCCAGTGTAAACTGTCATACTGACAAGAAGTTTAATTGGAACCAAAGACAGTGCCATCACAATAATGGCTTTACATGGGAAATTTTGAAAATATGGACTTGAGCCTGATTTATTTAGGTGCTTGCTGATGGGAAACATTTAAAAATGTGCTTTTGATTGATTTAAGGGAAGTAATAGGTTGTTATTTCTGCATCAAAACTGTTCTAAAGCATTTGCTGGAATATCTCTTACTCGGTATGTTGCTGTTCAGGGGAGTGTTAACGAAGGTTTTGTGGTGACTTGACATGTTGCTGTTGTGGCTGTCAGAGTTGCAGTTAATGATTTCCTGAATGGATGAGGGTGCAAGAGAGGAGTTATGGCCTCTTACTGCCTCAGTAGGAAGGAAAGAGGGCTTTTTATCATCCTCAGGGGAGTCCTCTTTTTTTTTTTTTTAATAGATGCAGTTTGTGGGTGTTTCTTACAGGGTTGAAGGATTACTTATTAGAAAAAGCAACCCAAACATTATTTAATAACTTCTGTTGAAATAAAAGTAAAGCTAGTAACAAATACCTGTCAGATAGAGGGCTTTGGTCCAGGACATTTACAGCTAGAGATCTTTATGCCATTCTGTATCTTGAAATTTTTTAAACAAAAGGGAGATGATACGGATTTTGGTTGATACATTAAGGGATGGCACTATGTGTGATTTTCAATGCTTTTTTTTGTTTGGTTATGTAATATGAATTGTAACTTCTATTGCTTTGTGAGGTTTGAGACTTTACATTGAAGTATTAGGTAACTATTGCTTGGACTGTTTGGCATATTCGTACTAAACTTTCTCTATTTGATGCTTCTGGAGTGAGTTAACAAAGACTTTAATTAAATCTTGCATCAACTGGCACAAAAAATATATTTAATTAAAAGATGTCTTGGATTCAAATACTCCAGCAGTATTCCCTAGCTATTTTGCAAAGGAAATGTAGTTGCTAACACTTTTGAGTGAGCTTACCCATTCCCTAGATAGGAGACTGACTTGGTTTGGAAGGAAGCACTGTGCAAGGGGTTCTCAGCAGCCTTTGTATAATGTGGGGAGTGACACTTGCATTAGCTTTTCAAAAGAATTTTTGAATCCCATTAGTTTTCATATTGAAAATAGTAAAGCGTAACACACAAATACAACGTTAGTGGAGCTATTCCTTTTATTGCCAAAGCTATCCAATTCCAACCGATGTTTCTATTTAGCAGACTGATTATAACGAGACATACAGTAGTTACATGTGCAAACTGTTCCTGAGTGCTTTTTGTTAATAATTCTGTTTAGAGCTGAAAACTTCCAGTGAATTGCTTGCATGCATTACCAGTTGCGATGCTATTTAAGACAGATGAAGAGGTCTCATATTGAGGCCACTTTGGTTAATGCAAATTATAGAACAAGACCAGAATCAGCTGGCACTTGTGACTCTGCAGTGTCCTGGAAATTCTGAGTTGTTGAAAGACTTCAGCTTTCAGTGCTTTTTTTCCACCCCAGAAATAGCTTGCGGTTCAGCTGCAAGTCTGGGAATAAGAAGATCTGAATTTTATAGTTAGGCTCTGACTTCAGGTCTATGTGACCTTGACAAGTCACCTAACTTCTTAAATGGCTTTTTCCTTATCTGCAAGACTTAGAATTACCTTAATGTGTAAAGATTGATTAGCTAATGCTTATGAACACTTGGAGAGTCCAAGAAGATGCTACGTTTGTATGTAGCATGTTAACCTGGCAATTTGGGTGGAGATAATACACTATTTATAGAAAAAGAAGTCAGCTTTAAAAAACAAAATCCTGCTGCTCCTGACAAAGAAAATGGATGCTGGTTTTATTTTATATGTAGCTGCACAACTGTCTTGCTTAAAGGGATCACATAACTCTTCCCCATTTCCAGCAATAAAACTTGAGAAAATAAATGATGCAGTTATGCAGAAAAGAAATGATGCAATTAAACACACTGTTAATACTAAAAAAAAAGAATCTTCATCATTATCTTATTTCATGTTTTGCAGTTTTGTTATGATTGTATTTCAAGTGTTGAGCCTCACAGAGATTCAGATGAGAATGAGGGGGAGCGAGAGACTGAATTGTTTCTTATGGATAATCTTAAAATACACTTAATTTTAAGGATGTCTGTAGACATTTAAAACCTATGAGAGTGTGTGTTTGATGTTGACAGCGGAGATTAATCAGTCAAAGTAAATGTCAGCAGTATGAGTCAATTAGGTCAGATAACCACTGTGCCTTATGTCAGTCAATTACAAAGCATATTTTTAATAACAGAAGACCTTTCTGCACTGTCAGTAACAAAAAATGGTCATGTGCGAAGCACTGTATTTCTTTACCTTTTCAGAGCAGCGTTAGTCATGGCTGTCCATAAGTATATGTTAAAAGTCCAGCAGTTTGATTAAACCGGGCTGGGAATGCATCTACAGAATGAACAGCAGGGCATCTGATCCCAGCTTTATTCTTATATCCTAATTTTCTAAAGTAATAATGTAGTTTCAGTCATTTAATTAACTAGTAAATAATGATTTTAGCATTTTTGTTTTCTTACATTGCTGCAGTAAAGTGAACAATTCTCAAATGTAAAAGCTGCAGCTTAATACAGCTTTAATTGACCAAAATTGAGTGCAGGCACTTGCTCTTCTCAGCATCTTGTATGGCACTGCAGCTGTTCGAGGCATCTTCTGATTGGTGTCTGTGCCAAAAGATCCTTGTGTTTGTACTGGTAATAAGAGAATCATTGCTTTGACTTTCCTTATTCAGACATCATCTACAAATACTGTTTACAAAATTTAGGAGATCTTAAAACATTGCTTCTCCTGGTAGTCCTAAAACTCAGTTAATGAGTTACTTAAAGAATTAAGCCAAGCATAGGCCTCTGTGCCGATGACTGAATCAGACGATGGCAAGAAACGTAGCTTGAAGGAATCTGGGTCATCTCCAGGCACGTTCCTGGTGTTGAAGAAGCAACTGTAAGTGCAGCTTTGTTGGTATGTCTTATCTTAGCTAAGTTGTGTAAGAGTATTTTGCTACAGTTGGTAGCCTGGATGATTTTGTAACCTGTTTCCTAACAGATACAGAAGAAACTTGATGTCTTCACTGCTTTCCTTCTAGTAATTTAGAAATAGCCACTGTTTTCACCCTAAATTTGAGGATGGAGCATGATATTACTAACACAAAAAGCTATCTTCGGCATGTTGCACATTATTTTTTTTTCTCCCCTTGTAACTCTAGTGGATTATCCTGTTTGTGTTGCTAATGCTTTCAGAAAGTGCTTTCTGCAGGTTCAGATGAAATAAATTAAAAAAATACCCAACGTTGTCCCAAAGATTACATCCATATGGATGTTGGAAGGTGCAAAAAAACCCTTGTGCTTAGCTATACCTTGATAACAAGGGGGAAAGTTCGATCTAGAATCAGTCATCTTAGGTGCCTTTTCAATCCTCATGTGTTTTTAATTGTAGGTTACAGTCTAAAAACCCATTTCAACATACCTCGCATATACTATGACACTTGAAAAGCTGCAGTGAGTAGGCAGGGCTGTCAGCTCTGAAGAACAGGCTTTGAAGTGTTTGTTTTAGTATTTTGAGATTTATGTCTTGAATTCCAGAGATTTTTTGCAAATGAAAATGTGAATACCTTAGTTTGGGGTGGCAAGCTAATACTAGAAGAAGGGTATATTTCCACATTTCTGGGGAGGAGTGCTTCCAGTAGCACTGAGTTGCATATTTTTTTCTGTACTGAAATAAAAAAGAACAATTCTTGTATTGGTTGTGGTTTCCGGTACTGTTTGCCTTGCTTTGACTGCATCTGTTCCCAGCAAGTGTGGCTTGCCTCATTGATACAAATAAATACGTAATAAATGAAGTGCTATGCCCCTCGAGCAAGCAGACTCCGCTAGCTCCGTGCATGGTCAGATTGAGTGTGTCTGTCTGGCATTCCCAGGATGTGATGCAGCTAGACATGAATGACTGGACAGCATTAGCCAGGTACGAGCTCAGGCTTAGTTGTGCTGCTGGTGGCAGAGTTGGTAGTGTCCTAACAAGGGTGCAGCAGCCGCCGTCCCAGGAGTGGGGAAGGAAGGGTCGCAGGGCAAGGCAAGGCAGAAAGAGAGGCTGGATGGAGATCTGGATGCAAAGGGTCATGAGTATTAGTTGCTATGTCGTGGCGGAGGATTAAGGAGCCACTGGAGAATTACTGCTGTGCTGTTCCAGGATCACCTTCTGAAAGTGCAAAATGCTTGCTCCTAGTGTGAAGTTCATATTTGAGTTACATTGCTGTTAGATATGTTAGCCTGCTTGAAGGCAGAGCTGATGGATGGTCACAAACAGCAGAAAAATGCCCAATCTTCTCAGGTTCCTATCTTTTTCTTTGGTTGCCTGAGCCCACTCTCCTAGCCAACCTTTTCTGAACCACATTCCAAATATCCTGTCAGATTTTCAGACTATCTCACTGTATCTGTCAATAGCAATCTATCCGGTTGGTCCCTCAAGTTTCCCAGGATAGAGGTAAACTTTTAAATCATGTTGGATAGAAGGATTATGAAGCAACTCTGTTCCTGACTGTCACTTTCCCTTCATACCTATTTTTAAATCCAGTGCAGAGATTGTTAGGTGTAAAATACTGTAACCATTAAATTGGAAGACCTCTTTGTCAAGCTCTCAGATTTTTTTTTCACATGGAGCTGGTGGGAAAAGAAATTAGTATTAGGAAGAACACTTAATAAGGATACTTAAAAATGGAATGGTGCTTAAGAGGCTTTGTCAATAAGCAGTTTCAGGCCACGGTCTCAAGAACAGCTTGGATGTCCCAAAGGATTTTTACAGCTATGCCAGTGAGTCTAATTACAGATAATACTTTTCTTGCTTAAGTCATGCCTCTTAGATTCTTACATCAGTGAGGTTGCTGTAACAGTAGTGTTAATGTTGCTTTTTGTAATTTATTTAATTGACTGTGACATACACTGAAGTTACATATGTGTGGAATGAATAAATTGCTGCTTGTCTGATCAAATGGATCTTAATAGTTTGTGGATTTTTTATTTTTTTTTTTAGGGATTATGTGAGGAGTGAATTGGAGTCAGGATATGAAGGGCCAATGTACTTGGAACCTCTCTCTATGAATCGTTTCATGACTGCTTTAGTAGGTAAGTGCTTTAAATATTTGTGGTACAGGAGAGAGCTCTGCCTAATTCTCTTCATTGAAACCTATGCAAGTTTTACTTCTTGGTTTCACATTTCTCTTATCGCTTTTAGTAGCTGTGATTCTCATTAATATGCAAGAGGCATGGGAGGCTAGGTATATCCTGCTTGGCTTTATCTATGCTGCTGATTTACCAATACACTCATACTTTCAGCTTTTAAGTATTTTCTAGGTCTGTTTGTCGTGCTCTGCCCTATGTTCTTCTCAGGCTCGCAGTCTGATTTGGGAGGACTGGATTGTCTATGATAATCTTTAGGTGGAACATACTGCAGAAATTGCAATAATAACATGTATTTGTAGTGCTTTTGTCAATGAAAATGTACCAGTATTTATTCTATATTGGCCTTATAGATGAACACTGTCATTGTCTTATAAAAACTGGTGAAATAGATTTGTGAGTGTGTGCATGGGACTACAGGCTACTTTTTTTTTTTTTTTTTTTAAGGAGTCCCAGGGATATTTCTAATTAAAGAGTTAAGGAGTAACAAGTCAGAACTACATTTAAATTGTGTTTGGTTAATGGCAGAGGAGATTTCTCTACCTAAAAATCCAAAATAAATCCTGAAGAATTGGACTTTCTATGGTGTTTCCTTACCCTTTGAACTTTGGAAGAGAATAAATTCAGGGTTAAGGTTGCTATGCCATACCATATGTTGTACTGAGAGGATATCGGAATACGTGCAAACACCATGTGTATTTTAAAATAAAGCCTGAGACAAGCTTGAAAGAAAAATCTTCCTTAGTTCCTTTCACTAAGATCTATGGTTTTCATCAGATTATGACAGATTTAGCCATGTACTGTTGGCAAAACTCAGCTGCTTTCTGTTTACTTCAAGCTGCTACTGGCAGATTTAAATGGGTTTACTTCTTTACAGTGTGTTAGGTCTACTGGAAAATATGCATCTCCTGTTTGCCTGCATCCTTACTTTCAAATGTGGCATTTGTCTTTGCTTTTAATATTTTTTTATAGAAATAGCACTGGTATTTTTCAAGGAGAGGAAATGTTCTTTAGATATAATTTCTTCTGTCCTCTGAATTTCTAGATATTTTGCTGTCTTGTCAAATGATGCCAAAGTACAACTAGAGCATTTAGTGTATTTCTATGAGAAAATGTTTGTAATTAGTCCTTTGAATCTCACTCAGGTGCAATGCAATGTCCCATGGTAAAGCAGAATCCCTGAGAGAGCTTCACAAAGTGGCGGGCAGGCCCAGGCAGGGAGGGCATCAGGAGGCATTGTGTCATTTGGTAACATTTACATAGCAACTAAACCGAGGGTCAAACCCATTATGCTTCATCCAGGTTTTAATATGGATTAAAAATAAGTGAGAAGATGATAATTGTTTTTATCCAATACAGTTTTGGGTTATACTGGGTGTCACACTAGAGTGTCCCCTTATTGTAATTGTTTTTCAGAAGTAGGTGCTTGATTATACTAGCAAATGTGTGTACGTTAACATACTTAATATCTCCATTATTAATTTCCCCAGTTCTATTAAAGCCAACTTAAAGTGTAATTTTAGCCTTGATGGCAAGCAGTCTTCTTTGGGGAAGACCTGTGAAAGTGGATTATGAGGCTTGACAGTGTTTTGTATAAACGTGAAATACTTTCTCAAATTTGTTGTATACAAAGGTATTTACCCAGTGCAATCTGCCATGTCGCAGGAGTGTACTGCTCTGAACTGTGTCATCGTCACAGCAAAATGAATATACAGGTGCTTCGCTCCCGTCTTTTTCTTACATGTTGTGCCAGAGTGTTGTGCTGCAGCACTGTTGACAAAGGCACTGAGGCAGGTGCATGGGGGAATAATCGTGCTACTAATACAGCTCTGGTTCCTAAAGTTCTGGTCAGAATTAAGGGGACGATGTACAGTACACCAGCTGGTTCACAAATTTAATCTTTGTTAATGCTTTTATTCATTAGTGCTTTTTGAATGGGCTCTCATAGTCATTTCTTCCCCTGGATCTAATTCAGTCTGATGACTGTTGACCAGGGTTACTAATATGCTGGATGGAAGAAATAGATGTCTTTGAAGGCTGCCCCTTGGATGAGTGTGCCACTTTGTGAGCATGTCAGCTGTGAACGTTACAAAGCTGCATGGTTTTGGAAGCAATGCTACCATGAAGACTTGCTTTTTCTTACTGCACAATAATGGGATTATAACTTTCAGACATCCTGTTTTTTGCATAACGGTTAACAATGTAGCCAGGGAATTTGTTAACATCAGCTTTTTAAAATTGGAAATGAAATAAAGACAGTTCCCTACTGAAAGTGGCTTGAACAGTGGCTGTAACGTGTAGGCTTTCTTGTTGCACGTTTTCCATTAGCTTACGAGCTGAGAGGCTTTGGCTACCTGTCAGCAATGTTTAATGCATTTGTGGAGGTTTTGGGAAGGGAAGAGAATGAGCAGGAACTGAAGGCAATAGATTTCTTCCTCCTTGCCTCATTCCCTAGCAGAGGAGCCTGGTGTCCTGCAGGAGGATTTCAGCTGTTGGGTTCTATGTCTGGCAGTTTTCAGTCCATGGCATTTAAGTTTGTGGAGTGCAAACATTCAGCTGGATTTGCTAGTCTTAGCAGACAGCTAGAGCATTAAAATATTTTTATGATTTGATATGAGGCACAAACTAATTTCTTCTGACTGATCCTGCTATGTTATGTGTGCTGACTGATGGTGTGCTTGGAGATAAACTACGATTTACTGCAGAGAGACATTGTCTGTCCTGAACTAAGGTACTGCTACCCTGGTTTCAAGTGGGAAGTACCAGTCACCAAAAGCTTCATTGGAGATACTTTGAGGCCCTTCCTGAAGGGGTTGAGAATTGACAAGCTGCAGACTTCAGGAAGCAGATTGGGGCCTCCAGAGAAAGTGCTCCATGTATTTCCTTTGATGGTGTACAGTTCTCCTTCCCATGACAAGTAGCTTTTGACTGGTATGTAAATTAAAAAGGTGGGACGGTCAGAAAGTTTAGCAGGGATGACCAGCATACTCAGCACATTGCTGTTGGAGGAAAGCAGGTTTTGTTCTTGTGTGAGATTAAACTAGACTCAGAGGTCCTATTTTGTGATTGGAGAGCTCCAGAGTTATCCCAAAGAGTGCTGGATTGTTTAACGTGATGTTGTTACAGTATTTTATGTCAGATGATGACACTTAGTAAATCCTGAAGAACATACTGGATGCTGGTGTTTGTATCCCTTTGTGTTTGAGCTGGGTTGCCTTAGTTACCATGAGTCGCAGAAATCCTCGTAAGCTGACTGTGCCAGGCTCCTGAATATTACAGCACAGCAGTGTGCTGGTGGTATCTTAAATAGGGTTGTAGCAACGTGTGTGTGGGCAGAGAACAACAAAGCAGAGGGAGAATGCTTCAGAGCTGGAGTCTATTGGACTTTTTAAAAGATGAGTAGAGTAACTTTCTCTGAGGCTTATAAGACCCAGTATGCTGATAGTGTCTTGCTGAGAGCAAGGGTGCGTGCTCTGAAAAGACATCTGCTAATTCAAAAACACATCTAGCAAATTGACAGTAGGACTTGAACTTGAAAGAGGACAGTATGAAGGAGGGAGAACTTTGTATGCTTAAGTAGTTGAGATGAGAGATTGCTTTCAGCTCAGTTGCAGTTATTTTGAAAGCAGAAGTCCTTTCCTAGGTAGGGAAGCTAGGCAGAATGAAAGCAAAACCCTGGTACTGCTATTTCTCCTCTTGAGCTTCCCTCCTCAACCCATTCAGAAGGGCTTACAAGGTCAGTAAGCTTATATGACACACACATGGAGTTAGCGCTGACCTAGAGATGTTAACGGCCTTGACTTTGCTACTGTGTTTTGCTAAGGCTAACTCCTGGTTTTGGGAAGAGTTGTGAAATGCAAACATTGGTGGAGGTAGCTCCAAAACAGAGCATAAAGCACTGGGGTTTAGTACCATGTATTGCAGCTTTTGGATGTAAGCTAACATGGATGGTTCTGCTTTTAAATAATATGCAATAAACATTTTCCTTACTGCAAAATGATGAGTGAGAATTGTTCTTATCCAGGCAATATGCATTTTGTCCCATTCCATTTTCTCTGAGATAAAGGGTACAACTTCCAGTGACTCTTTTGGGAGCAGTTATACTGGAGTGGTCTGCTCTAGAAATACCACCCTCCAGATCTCTTCATATGTGGGAGGAATGTGCTCGTGCTTGTGTCCCTGCCAACTGCTAAAGAGAATTTAGTTGTTAATTATCTGTCACTTGCAAGCTTCAGTGATAATTTTGAGCAACTGCCTCAGGCATTACGAAATTATTGAAGTCTCAGCTGCTGACCTGGCTGTTCTGATGGTGTTCTTGGCCAGTAGTTCCTCTAGACAGTATAAATATTGTTGGTTTAAAAGCTGTTTGGGACCTCTGATTACTTTTTTTGCACAGATAGGGATGAAATAGTAGTATAGCTGGGCTTCAGAAAAGCTACTGCTGTGTATACAGATACTGATGGGATTTAAGTTGAACTGGGGATGTTAGGGAAAAAGAGGGATGACTTGTTGGGTTATCCTCTGCATGATTTATTCCTGGGACTTTGTATTAATCTGAGTATGATTCTGCATGTGTGTTGGGTTTACATCTCACTAATCTGTAAAGTGAAAGCAGGCACTTTGTGTAACTTGAAAATGCTAACTTTTGTGACCCAGCAAAAGACACCGAGGAGCCTGGTTTCATAACAGATATGTCCTAATTAGAACTGTCATAATGTGCTGGATGTTGGTAACTGTTATGGACAGATAACGTATTAAAATACGTTTCTTCCTGAAGGGGATAATCAGCTTGATTATAAAATACCGTGTTGCGTTTTCAGGTCAGCTGGTGGTATGTACGCTCTGCTCCTGCGTCATGAAAACAAAACAGATCTGGCTTTTCTCTGCTCACATGCTCCCTCTGCTGGCACGACTTTGCCTGGTCCCTTTGGAAACCATCGTCGTCATCAACAAATTTGCCATGATTTTCACTGGTTTGGAAGTTCTGTACTTTCTGGCATCAAATCTTCTGGTGCCATATAACTTGGCAAAATCTGCATACAGAGAGCTTGTCCAGGTAAGACAGAGAACGTAACAATTTTATTTTTCTTGGCCTAGGTTTTTTGTGTTTTTTTCCAGGAAAGAAATAAAAAAATACTTTGGCTGTCTGCTATGCAACTATATGTGTGTGTGTCTGTTAACTCATGCTTTCTTAGCAAACAAAATCCATAGCATCATCTTTCTTTAATTTATGGTATCTTATAATTTTGGTGAGCAGTTAAGACGTTAGCCTGAATTATGCTGGTGGCCAGCTGAGCATGTCCACTTTGCCTGGACTTTTCTTAGTCCTTCCCAAATCCAGACTGAAAGACAAGATTGTGGCAGAATGGAATTTATTTACAGCCTCATTAAGTGAGCAAGGTAATCCCTATGGATTAATTGTAGTAGCTGTTCATTTCAAGAAATGCCTTCTATATGAAAAGCATTTGTAACTATAGTAGTGTTAAATTGAGAGTAACACTAAAGCTGGTTTTGACTGTAATAATCACTGACTTACAGCCAGTGATTTGTAACTTGCAGACAGTGATTTGAAAGGTCTGTAGTATTTTCTTTAGAACAGCAGCATTGCTGAGACCTCCAGCAAAAGTTAGCAGAAACAGAGAAGACTGATCTGACATGTATCTATTTGGTTAACGCTTTGCAATCTGATATACATTTATTTGAAAAGACACTTTGTTAGTGGTACAGGAACATCACACCTCACATTTTTTATTTAAAAATAAAATATACGTGTATATGCATCCTTCTGTATATTTCCATATAAAGATTGATGCTTGCTTGACTTTTGACTGACCTGCTACTTCAGCTCTCACCACTTGCTTGATCTTTTTTAAAGCCAAACCACTGTTTTTCTGCCTTCTGCTCTTCAGTCCAGAAGCAGTCTGAAAACTAACTTGTTAAGCTCTTTCAAAGCCCTCTTTAAAGCTGCTCTTTGCTGTCGTATCTGTCATACACAAACAAAAATTTGGCAGCAGTAGGTGTCTGGTGTGCCAAGGTCTCAGCCTGTCATGTTGATCATTACTGTCTGGTTATTTATTTTGTATGTAATTGGTCTTTGGAGCAGGATTATCCTTCTGTGTTTGTACAGCACCTAGCATGGTCTGATCTTGTCCATAACTAGCTTGTAGATTTGCTGATTAAAAAGTAATTCAGGAGCTAACTGGCAAAGCTTCAATAGCCTTGTTTTCCAGTGAGAATTAGAAAATCATACTTACTGTTTACTTAGAGTGGTAACATTTGGGGTAAAGCAGTTGCGTGTCCTTGTACAGCTCAAAGACTTGCAACAGGTTGGAACCAGCACTTCCATTTTCCACATGCAGAACAGATGCAGAGTTTAGCTTCCTGAAGTCAAATTCAAATTGGATTTGGATTTGAGAATCATGTATCTATTTTCTATTAGACACTTATGTTTAAAACACTTCAACATCTTATGAATGTTTTAATTGGAAATGCATTCCATTGTTTCTTTGCAGATTTTTTTTTTGTTTGTCGGAATTATATTCTAAATATAGCTGTTACACAAGTCTCCTCATCTCTAGGAGTGCTTGTCTCTTCCCCCCCACCCCATTTCAAATCATTGCATGCCAGACTGTTTTACAGTGTTATGATCAGGAGGAAGAAGTATTCATTGTACGTGCCTTTGGACAACTGATCATACTCTTTCTTCTGACTTTTTATGCAGAGGGCATAAAGGTGTTTTTTTTTTTTTCCTTGGGAGTACAGAGAAAATGGCAGAAACTTTATAACGTGGCCCTGGATTTTTAATAGAGTGGTGTATCCTGCTTTTCTAAATGCATGTAGTAGAGAGTGGGTTGGAATGAAAAGTTGTGTGTGAGTGGTTTTTGCATTGTATTGACAACATGGGAAAATGGGGGTTTTGTTTCTAAAGAGTTTGCTGCTTTTGCCTATGTTCCTGAAATAAACCAGAAAAAACTTGGGTTCATAGTGTGTTCGTATAACTGGCTGCAACTCCGCTACAAATGAAGCTTAGTATGCTTATTCCAGATGAGGATATTGCCATTTTGTCTTAAATATTTTCCTATTTGTATTTCCATTGCTATAATTTTGTGCAGTTGTTAGTTTTCAACGATGCCTTCATCCTGGTGTTTGTGAGCTTACTACTACTATTTTAGGCTGGATTTGATTGCTGTTTTGATATTGGGGCAAAACTTAGTGAATATTGGGATGTTAAACACCAGCAGTGTTTCCTGAATGCAGCACCGTAGGGGAGACAGCCCTAACAGGTGGACCGAGGCAGCTTTTGTGCATGTCTATTTCAGACTGTGGCTAATGATATAACTGAAAAGCAGGTCCAGAACCTTGGCTGCATACTTGCAGCAGAAGATGCCAGAAATACCTTACGGTTATAAATCTACATTATGAGCGTAGCATGACCCTGTTCCGATGCGGTGGAGTACTCTGCCAGGAGCTGCATAGGATTGCGTGCATTGGTCCTAGGCCAAGGGAGTCTCCTGAGGGCAGAAGCACTTCCTTCACAAGTCTGTGTGCAAGGCTAAAAGTGGGGGCTTGGCACCGTGTCCCTGCCAACAGAGTATCGCTTGTCCATCAGCTGCAGTGCATACTGCAGCAGGTCCCATGAGTGTAGCATCCCTCATGCTTGTCATGAAAGACTAAGTAGGCAGCTTTTTAACCATTTGCTAAAACTTGCTAGCCGTTATAGGATTGTATGTCATTGTAGGAAGCAGATGGTGAGGAAATAGTAGTTATGAGTGATTTCCTTTTGACCTTTTGCATTAAGTCCAGCTATATGAAGTTCCAGCTTCTTGGAAATGACTGCATTGTAACTTAGTATTTGTAATACAAAAGAAGTAGTTTGAGATTCAGAGTCTTCTGAAATAACTCTTAAGCATGAATTTCAAAACACTTGGTAGATTAGGAGCAGTCAGAAGCCTGGTACATGTGTGGGTTTTTTGAGTTACTTAAACATAACTGAGGTATTAAGTTTTTTCCTTAAAAGCAGGTCAGCAAAGCAGATTTGCTGTGCTGAAGTGATGTGGCTCATATTTCAGTATCTAGTATGTGCATGACTTGGCAGTAGCTGCTGAGAAAACAGCGTTGCTGTGACTTAAGCTGGGCAAAAAGGTCTGAGAGGGTTCTGCGTGAATGGGAGGCATGTATGCTCATCCCTCTGGCTGTGAGTGGGTGCAGTCAGCAGCTCTGAACCTGTTATTCATAGGAAAGGGCATTCAGCTGGTCTGATAGTTTGCTGTGCAGTCAGGTACTTCTCCGTACTTCAAGACAGACAGTGATAATGTGTCACTGCTGAACTTGGGCTCTCCCTTTGTCAAACTTTAGTTTGATGTACCTCCTCTTTTCCTTCGGGATGCCTAATACCATGTGAATTATCTTCAGCTTCTTTGTGGCTATATTGTTGACTATCCTTTTGTTATCAAATCAGAGGTGCTGTGAACCAGTAACAAACCACGTTTTTCTGTCTTGCCCAGGTGGTGGAGGTGTATGGTCTCCTGGCTTTGGGAATGTCCCTGTGGAACCAGCTGGTCGTCCCAGTTCTTTTCATGGTGTTTTGGCTTGTCTTATTTGCTCTTCAGATCTATTCCTATTTCAGTACACGGGATCAGCCTGCCTCAAGAGAGAGGCTTCTCTTCCTCTTCTTGACAAGGTAATTAACTGGTCTGCAATTAGTTGATTTTCTGCTTTTACTCTCTTCAGAAATTAATGTTTGTGCTCTTTTAGAGACTAGATATGTAGATTGGCTTTATTGCATTTGGATACCGAACAAATACTTGTCCTTATCTCAGCAACCATGTATGTAAACCTTGTTAAGCTTGTCCTTCAGAGGTGTGGATCTCGTTCAGAACAGACAGCATTAGTAGAACTTGGGAGAGTTCCCAAAGAAAGCAAAATGTTTCATTGATGAGGGGATAGCTATAATTAGAGCTTTGGTTCAGAAGTTGCTTTCAGTATACAAATTGGTTTTAAGTCTGAGATACTTCAGCTGAAGTTCAGTCCAACTGATACTTTATTCATGATTGTGTTGCTTTCTGAGCCCTATATGTCTTATTGCATCATTCTGATGTGGGACACATTCTTGAGTTCATCCAAGCAGCCAAAGTACCCAACTCCCAAAGTAACTTTTGAGTGCAGTGGTTATTTTGGCAGAGGTGTAAAGATCTTGAAGATACCAAATGCCTAAAAGCTTTGTAAAAACTGGTTATAAGATAAAGGAGAGAGGTCTGTGTCAGTGCTGTTATTGAGAGAAAGGCAGCATTTGAGGGATTTGTGGGAACCTGTGTGCCTTTGTTGGCTGTTTTTTAACTAGAAATTACAGCACACAAAAGGGAGTGGGGAATGTAGTGCAGAGAAGGAGCTGGGTGTGTTGCAGAAGGTGGGTTAGGCAAATGAGATGGTGTAATACTGAGATGGGGAGAAAAGAGGTAATAGTTGTCTAAACCCATAGGTAACCTAGGACATGTGTTTTGGAGACCATACATCATTAATTCTTCTGTTTGAGTAGCAACTTGAGTAACTTGCTCATCACTACAGTTTTCCAATCAGACTTGCCAATTGCTTAGCTTTTTCTTGCCTCTCTGAGTGTGTGTGTCTGTCTGTGGTGCCATAGTGTAAGCTGTCAAAATTTATTATCATTAAGGAGAAATGCCAGGGATTTTATTGCATGTAGTATTAAAATTGCTTAGTGTCACACTGCATTATGTAAAAGCACTATGTTACCTGGTTGTTAACAAAACCATTGATGTCTGAAGCTTTTTCTCCTGTTCATCTCTGCTGCAATTTTAGTTTTGTTATGATGGAGTACTGCAGTTAGCAGAGGTGGGGGAAGCAATCCTTTTCCTTGTAAATAAGTTGAGTTTATTCCTACACCAAACTGTTAGACTTTTCCCATTCATGGCAAAACAGGGAACTTGCTTTACAGACTTGCATTGGCTTGATCTATGAGTGAATGAATACTGATTTATCTCTGTGAAGTTCTCCCTGCAACTGGAAAAATAGAGAAAAATTATGCAAATGTTCTCAATGTTCTCAGCTCTGTCACAGTAGAAAAATTATAAATGCTTATTCATCTTAAAAGTACAGACTCAGGTAGTACCACTAACAGCCTCTTACCCCTTTGGAGGGAGCTGCAATACCTTGTCAGGCCGGTTAATAATGTAGAGCTGGCTGTTTAACAAAATGGAAGGAAAAGTGCTCTTCCATTAAAGGGAGTGAAGCCTGCATCTGTGCCCTTTAAGTGTAATGATTGCTTAAAATAGTGTGGCTGGAAGTCAGGTGAGAGCAGTTGGGGTGTGCAGAATAGCTATGTCTGATTTTTGTAAGAATGCCAGAGTGGCTGCAGTGGGTGAGACCAAATACTGATCTAGCCTAGGATCTAGTTTCCAGCAGTGGCTGTAAATGAGTACCTGGAGAGATACCCACCCATAATGACAAACAGGACTCTTCCTAGTACTCTGAGTCCCACATCCAACTTCAGCTGTCAGGCTGCATTAGCTGGATATGGTTAATACGTATTCAGTAACCCTCAAAAGACTTCTCTTCCATCAATTTGTACTTTCTGCTTTAAACTCATGCACACTTGTGGTGTCATTTGAAAGATCCTGAGGCAAGGAGTTTCACAGCTCAACTTGGTCTGTATGTTGAAAAATGCATTTTGATTGTTTGAATCCATATAGTTTAATTCACTGTCCCTCAATTCATGTATTGGGAGCGGGGGGGAGGCAAAAGATCGAACAGTTCTTTTCTTTTAAATTGAGAATAGCATAGGTCTCTTGTCCCAGACTAGAAAGCTCTTGCTTGCACGTTTCCTGTTTAAAAACTGTTCTGTACCTTTCATTGTCCTTGTTCCTCTCAAAATCTTTTCCATGGGTATGTAAGTGCTGTGATTTTTGAGAAGCCTTGAAGAGTTCAGCTCTTTGGGACAATTTATAAACTTGTGCTTGACGTATAAACATAACATTGAAAGCTCCCGAGGCTTCTCTTTGAGCTCTTAAACTCCTCTGGGACCATTGCATAGTAGATCATCTGGAAATAAATTTAAGAAGGGTACTAAAATCACTGTGACAAAAAAGGATTGGGCATCAGGTAGAAAAGCCAGGATTCCTGATTTCTGATAACTTATTTTGAAGTGAAACTTAGAGTTCCTTAAACATCCTGCAGAAATACTGGCTTTAAATACTGCGTTTCTCACTACCTTGACTGGCAGGAACATTTGAAAGCTTTTTCAGCTCTGCTTGATTTGGTAAACAGGCAGAATTTGAAGGCTTACCAGAAGCACTGCAAATAGTGTATGTAAACACATCAACATTTTCTGCTGTGAATTGCTTTCAAAGGAGATTTCCAGTTAAAGAGGTCATTAAAAGAGACAAAGTAAATGTTTCTTGGACAAGCTTTGTTTATTTTTGAAGCATATGCTTCCTCAAAACTCTTTTGTCTGGACTAGTTCACTCTTCAGTTGGTTAATTAGCATGGCATGTTTTTGACCACCATAATTTCTCTCACCAGACTACTATCCTGGTGAACAAGCGAAGGTTATTTTTTTCCCCCCTTTTTTCTTTTTTTTTTAATGAGTGGGGATGTCAGTGTATTACCTTGGATTACGTATGTGAGGATTTCCAGATGTGTAATCCCAGGCTGACAGCTGGTTCTTTACATAGTGTTGGGACATGCAGTGCACTGCACTCCCCTTGTTCTGGCAACGTTATGTTTCAGAAGCCTGAGTATGCTCCGAGGCTTAGGCTGCTCCAAATATTGCAGTGCCAGGATCAGCAGAAGAGCACCCGAAGGTGAGGGAGATGAAATAATGCAGCTATTCTCAGCATTGTCAAATGTATTCTGGGGTCTCAATCTTTGGGACTTCACTGCTATAGCAAAAGAGGAAGGAGCCTACTGAGGGAGAATATTCTTCACTGTCTTATTTTGCTGCTTCTGGCTCAGCCGTTTGAAAGAAAGGTGTTGCCTACCTGAACCCGATGGGAACGCTACCAAAAAGCCCCCAGTCTCCCAATAACGTTTATCAGTTTGATGTTTGTGTGCACTGTTGTAGATCTGAGTGGAAAGTGCCTTAGTGAATCCATCTGCTTTAACTCTGTGTTTCTGGGAGCTGGCTGAAATTTCAGCGCGTAACCTGGGTGCGTGGTGGCTGTCGAATTGGCTGTTGGTTGTGAACCCCCTGCGCAGGCAGGACAGTGCCACCGTGTGGCACCGCGCTGTGGGGACCGCGGAGGTACCGTTAGCTAGGAAGCTGAGATGACGTCGTGTTTCTGGGAAGGAAGCAATGGAATACTTCTCATCTTTTTCTTTTTGTAGGAGGATCCTGTGGCTGTGTAGAGCCTTCAATATTTTCATGAAACCAATCCAATTTTGCTTTAAAAAAAACCGGCTTGCACAGTTAGCAGGACAAGAGGGAGAACTAATCCTATTGCTTTTAGTTGAAAGATCTTTTATTTTTGTTTCTTTTCCCCTCTCTCCTCCCAGTATTGCTGAATGCTGTAGCACTCCATACTCGCTGCTGGGCTTGGTCTTCACAGTCTCTTTTGTTGCTTTGGGAGTTCTGACTCTCTGCAAGTTTTACTTGCAGGGTTACCGAGCATTCATGAATGATCCTGCTATGAACAGGTAAGTGCCTCGGGTCTAAAAAGCAGCAGGCAAAAAGGGATTTATATAGAAATACCCGGGTTGCATTGCAATTTTTTAACTTATGAACTCCTGGGTATCCTTGACAGACTTTTTGTATGTCAGTCTGTGCGTGCATTGGAAGGACGAGGTGAAAATACAGGTTGTCACAGAGTTCTTGGGAGGTGGTTCATTTCTGTAACAAATTGAGGGCTGTTAGTTGGGATTTATGATTGTGCAGTTTGATTTGTCCTAGTGCTTTCTATTTCATGAGTCACTAGAAAATTTTCATATGCTTGGATAATATAAACACTTCGTATTTCCATTTTCTCATTTACCCTGTAGTCATGTGTGAAATATTACTCATCTATGAGGCTTAAAACACAACATTGTATAGATTGCCTGTAAATTACTATGGGAATTAGTCAAAATGTAGAAACTGCCTTTTCTTAGCACTTCATAGAATCATGTCATAGTATGGTTTGGGTTGGAAGGGACCTTAAAGATCATCTAGTTCCAACCTGCTGCAGGCAGGGACACCCTCCACTAGACCACGTTGCCCAAAGCCTCATCCAGCCTGGCCTTAAACACTTCCAGGGATGGGGCATCCACAACCTCTGCTTGTCTCAGCTTGTCTAATATGAAATTGAGATCCTAGGTATGACACTACCTTTCTCAGTTGTTCCAGCCCTTGACTCTATAGAAAGTTCAGATGATGTGCAAAATAATGTTTTACATTTTGGATTCCAAGATGTGGAAGCAAAAATGTTCTAAATCGGGGTTGCCTGGGAGTAGTCTACATAAAAGCATCTTTTGGGGAAGCATGCAGTTCTGGGTTATCTGTACTTCAACTGCATCAAATGCTGGTGCTAAATTGTGGTCCTCAGAGGTATTAAATTCAGTCTGGGGTTCCAAGCCAAAAAGAAGTGGACAGTTGTATTTTCTATTGGTACAGAGAGAATAAACTGATAAATGGCTAAATTGATTTGCCTGAACTGGGCAGCGGATGAGGTGTTGAGTCAAAGATGTTGGGCCTAAGGACAGACGGGAGGGCAGTGATGGGGAAATAAAGCAGATAGAGAGGGTCCTCATAATGATTGAGGAGTAAGGCTGATTGATGCCCAGGTGTAAATGCAGCAGGGCTGCTTCGAGCTTGTGTAGGCAGCACTGGGGCTGGTGGGTTCCTCCTTTTATGACACAATCTGGGTTCTTGAAATGCTTTGTGCTGGGGGGAGTTCTGTCATTGAGTGGTGTCTGCTGGGCTGGATGTAACCCACATGCTGCTAGTCAGGAGCAGCGCTCTGAAACTTGCTAGTTCCTAATGCCCAACACTTCAGCGTTTCTGAAAACATTCCTCTCAGGTTAAAGCCTTAGCAGGGACATCAGTAAAAGCTAAAACCAGTGACACTCGAAGGGCTCTGGCAGAAACAGCTTATTTCCTGGTATTTCAAGATGTATTTTTGAACCAACATTGGTACACAGAAAGATGTGTGTGATTGTTCTTTTGACTCTGTTGATCTGCAGGGGAATGACTGAAGGAGTCACACTCCTGATCCTGGCTGTGCAGACAGGTTTGATTGAGCTCCAAGTTGTGCATCGGGCGTTCCTGCTCAGTATTATTCTTTTCATTGTGGTGGCATCCATACTTCAATCCATGCTGGAAATTGCTGATCCCATTGTCTTGGCATTAGGAGCCTCAAGGGACAAGTAAGAGACCGATTTCCTTAACTGAAAGTTACTCAATGCTGTTTTAAGGGGTAATAAACTAGTAGTTGATGGCCTGATTTGGAGTAGCTCATAAAGTTACCCTGTATTTTCTGTATGCAGATTTCTAGTCTAAATTCTGTAGTTTCCCCCCCTCTATCCTACTCCCTCCAGGGCACACAGTAGTACCTTTCACCATGCTGTGTGCTGGCAAATGGGGGTGACTTCGGTCACCTGCTCCTGCTCAGGACTGCATCCATCCAGCCTGTGCAAGACCGTGCTGTTCTGCAGCTACTCGCTGCCCACTCCGAGTATGGCACTGTTCAGTGGTTGCTCTCCCTAGCAAATCCAGGACTCGAGGGCCTGTGCTCTGCCCACCCGCATTCCTTTGGATGGATTTCCAGAATGGTTTTGCTTAACCTCCTCTGCTTTGGGTAGGTTTCCTCCTAATGCAGTCATCTCAGCTCTTGAGGATAGGAAGCTTCTAGGAGTGACCTTGTGTTAGATATTGTAAAACCTATTTTTTGTGAGGCTGTGATCCCCAAATGATAGGGTTTAGTAGCAGAAAATAAAGAGGTGGAAGGCTTGCATTAGTGTACCAGATGTTCTGATCATGTGGGATTATTGTTAAGTTTAATTTGTGTTTTGAAGAGCTGTGTTGGTATCTGGTATTCTTGTATTAATCTGTTTGTATCTTTGTTAATTGCTTGTGCCTTTTCCCTTTCTGTAACCTGTAAGTGAAGAAATAAAAGAGAAGGTTTATTTATGTGTAGAGAGTTTGTTTAGCTTAAAGGCTACTTGTAGCCAGTGTGTTCTGCCTGCAGCAATGTTAACTTCAAATATAGTAACAGAGGGAAAGGGAGTACAGCCAGGATATGAGCATCTCCCCAGCTTAAACAAGCAGTGTGTGGTGATAGCGAGTTTTAACTCTCTTCTGCCAGATCTCCCAGGCAGTTCTAAATCAACTAGGATCAGGATAAATTCCACTTCAGCTCTCCCTTTCTCCCTCACCCACAGACACAGAATTGCAGACCTCACAGTAGTGTTCTGATGTTTCTTCAGACTGTATTGAATTAGCCAGTTTCTGCTGCTGTCCTGTCCCCCAGTACTTTGACTTTTTCTGAACCTCATTTCCAGAGCTCCAGAGCTAAATGAGGTTAAAATACAACCTGAGGAACATGTAGAGGTAGTATAATAAATTACTGGAGATATTCTGAAAGCCTTCACAAGTGGGTGGGTGTAAAAAGATTGATGGTGTGTTTAGGTTGGGGAGGAGATTAGGAAGAGGTAAATGATAGGAGCAGAGTAAGGACTGGCAGAGATGAATGTTCAAGTCCCACTACATTTCTTCTTTTGTGATCCCTGAACTAGGGAATATAGTTGTAAAGGTAGCAGTGGTGATGAAAGGAACCCTTTTCCCCATGCATATTAGCAAAAAGACATAAAGGAGTTGTAGTAAGTGTATCGCCTGGGAGAACTCTGTATAGAAAAGTGTACAAACAGTAACATACATACTTAATAATTTTCTTTATTTTAATAGACTTTCATTTGAAACATTCAGTATCTCAGATACTTAATATGCCTAACCACTGACTTGAACCGTTATGACAATTACTGTAGGTGCATTTTTGCACATAATCTTTGTCTTTCTATTGAAAACAGCAAAGGTCAGATGAGATGGAACTTTTCATACTGTATGTGTTGTAGGCATGCGTGCTGGGAATGAGATTGTGCCCAAGTAAAATAGAGACTCCTTTCAATAAGTTAAAGCCTTGCACAAACATCTAATTTGCCTACATCTGGCAGTCAGCCTATTCTTATTCTGACACTCAAATCTGACTTAAAAAATAAAAACCTATTGTGTTGTTTGCAGGAGTCTGTGGAAGCACTTCCGAGCAGTCAGCCTCTGTTTGTTCTTACTCGTGTTCCCCGCGTACATGGCCTACATGATTTGTCAATTTTTCCACATGGATTTCTGGCTGTTGATCATTATCTCCAGCAGTATTCTAACCTCTCTTCAGGTAAGAATGTCAGCCCTGTAGTAACTGAAGCCCTGCCTTAACTGTGATCCTGTTACCCTAGGGGGGGAAATATATGATGAGAAAAGAACAGGGATGATAGAAGGGCAGAACTACAAGATATGATATAAAATCTCTTTCTTTATCCTGTAACTGAGGCTAAAGAGCTCCTAGGGGTGGGCTGAGAACATAGATGAATGGAAATCTTTTTTCAACTCGTAAAGCCAGAAGGCTTTTGAGGGTATAATTATCCCAGTAAAAAGTTTGGGGGTTTTGTTTGGTGGGTTTCTTTTTTCCAGAGTACTCATTTATGTATCATTACTTAGCTATGGCTCTTTGAAAGTAATTTGATGTTCAAAACACAGTAGTGTAAATACAGGAAATGTTTTGTACTATGGGTATTTGTTATAGCTTGGGGGTTTTATTATTAAATTAAATCACCCTTCATGATGATCAGTGTTTTTGTTTAATCAACTCAGCTGTGTTCTCAGGGGAGCACAGAAGGGGAAGTACTTTAGAACAAGCTTAAATGCTTTGCAAGAAAGAGTGACTTTTAGTTGTCTTGAAGTTCAGCAACAATTTTACTACTTTGGGGCTTGCGTGCCCTCTGTCTGATTGGGGAGCGTTACATATACAGAGCTCAATGGGCAACGCCAAATGACTTAGGGTCCAGTTCCGAACTGAATGCTGAGCTCATGGTTTTGCACTGTTACAGGTGCTTGGGACACTCTTCATTTACGTTCTGTTTATGGTGGAGGAGTTCAGAAAAGAACCTGTAGAAAATATGGATGATGTGATTTATTATGTAAATGGCACTTACCGGCTGCTGGAATTCCTCGTCGCACTCTGCGTGGTGGCATACGGTGTCTCAGAAACGATCTTTGGAGAATGGACTGTGATGGGTTCTGTGATCATCTTCATTCACTCCTATTACAATGTGTGGTTGCGAGCCCAACTGGGGTGGAAAAGTTTCCTGCTTCGCAGAGACGCTGTGAATAAGATCAAATCACTGCCTGTTGCCACAAAAGAGCAGTTGGAGCAACACAATGACATCTGTGCCATCTGCTACCAGGTAAGAGTGGAAGTGTCAAAAGATTGACTTGAAATACCTCTGGACTGTACAGTTCAGTCTGCAACTAGTAAAATGTTACTGGAATTACGTTTGATGAGTAATATCGTGCTTGGTAGGTCACTTGAATTACCCAGTTTTCTGTAAATTGGAGTGCTGTCACTGAGATAGTGGGGTTTTTTTATTAATAAAGAGAGAGTTTGGATGTATTTAAACTTTCATTCTTTTTCCTCCAGTTACACGACAAAGTTGTGTCCTTGAGCTTCTTTGAAACCACTCGTGTTTGGGTTGAGCTGGTCTCAATAGTGACAGCAGATGTGCCCTTTCTTCATTTGTGGAAGATTTTCTTAATGAAAGACAATGTGTACTCAGTAGCTGATCTGTTAGTATTTGGTAGAAGCAGCTCAGTCTCTACAGACATCGCTATTTCCACTTCATGTGCAATGTCAGTTTTATAACAGAAACCTAATTATCAAAAGGTTAAGGGTCTTTCTAATCTAAGTCAGCAGATGTAAGGAGGACCTTAGATACTACTTTCAGCATTAATTTCTTTATCACACCTCCAGCTCCAAAGTCTCTTTCTCTTGGATAGAAATTGTAGTTATGTATGATAGCAAAAGAACCACCCTAAGATTAGTAGTGTGCAGTTGGAGTGTGATTGGAATGACTCCAAACTTGATACAAATGCTTTGAAGAGTAAAACTACTGGTGTGGGTTGAATGCCAGTGTTTGAACCACCATACTAGTGATATGTGGATCTTGGCTGACAGAGTTGGGGTGTTACTTCATTTCTGGTTTGCTATTGTTACTTCTTGTATCTCTAAGTGTGCTGGTTTTGACTTGCACAGTTGTTTAAGCCTACTATCCTGTGACTCTCATCCTACAAAAGCTTTTATTTAAGCGTAATAATACCTTATAAACAAAACTTTTTGCCTAATTTCTAATCCCTGTAATATAAACAGCCAGACCTGGCCAGTGTTTGAATTGTGTGTGTACTTGAATGTGGAGGCTTGTTGGCATGAAGGAAGGAACGTTCTCTTCCTTGCCTGTGCACTGCTTCTGTCTTCTCTGTGGCTAGTGGAACTATTAGGTGTATGGGGTGAGAGGAGAGGACTGGGATTACAAATAATATGATCTTTTTTTGTGTCTTTCAGGATATGAAAACTGCTGTAATCACACCATGCAGCCATTTTTTTCATGCGGGTTGTCTTAAGAAATGGCTGTATGTGCAAGAAACCTGCCCTCTGTGCCACTGCCAGCTGAAGAGCCCTTCACAGCTACCGGGACTGGGACCAGAACCAGTTCAACAGCCAAATCCAAGTGCAGAGCAGAATACCAGACCTGGAGATGCAGCTGAGCCTCCTGGTGCTGAACGTGACAATGGGCCGAGTACAAAAGACAGCCCCAGCAAGAGCAACAAGGGGGTTGCTGATGGACAGGACAGCCTGGAGGGCTCTGCTCAGATGGAGGGGTCCCAAAGCACGGGCAGTGACCCATGCCCGTGTGAGGCCAGCCAGGGAGTGGCCTGTGCTGCAGGACTAATTGCAGCCCCAGAGGGGTGCCCCACTCAAGACCCAGGGGTTTGTGTCCAGCTCTGAGGTGACAAAGGATGACATGGGAACAAACACATTTCAGAGATCCAAGTTTGACTCAGAAGAAAACCTATCCTTCCACAGCTGTGAAAGAAGTTTAGCTATTAATGCTGGTCAAAATGTAATCCCCCATGCTGATTTTTGTGGGCTGCTTGGTAGAGGTATCTCCAGTGAGATGTAGTAGAAATGACTCCAGAAGCTCTCCGAACTGTGGGCATAGGAAGGATGTCTGGAAATAAATTGCAGTGCAAGCGTGTTTCAAGACGTAGGTGAGAGATAAGAGGAACGAGAGGTCTGTGAGAGGTTGTAGACATGTGGCCAGAACGCTAGCTTTTGTTTTGGGCAGGCAGAGGGTGTCGCATACAGCCATGTCCCAGGGTACCTGAGGGTGTTAAATGCAGTGAGTTGCCACTCTCTGATTGAGGTGCAGCTTTGGTTGCTGGCAATTTTCTTATGGCACGTAAGCAAAAAATCAAAGATTTAACAGCAGTGATTGTACTAGAAGGTGGAAGCACTCTTAATACGTCATGTGTATGCTTTGGGTGTTCTTGGTGGGGCAATTGCATTTGAATTCATGTAATCTATAGTGACTCTTGACTTTTATGACGGAGTCTTCAATATTTTGATGTATATGAAACTTTTGCTAATACTGGGCACAGTCTGGGCTGCATGAAGTAAACTAAAGCTCTAATGAACACTTTGACCTCTGCTACCACATGCAGGAGGACAGTGGGATGAGTTTTAGGGCACAGATAGAGGCCTTGCAGTACTGTGCTGTGTAATGTTTAATTCTTGCAGCTGAATTAAAACAGTGTTAAACTCTGGCGATATTTGCACTTTGGGAATGAGTACATTATTGTGTATGATCAGACTCCGCAAATGCCACTTTTAAAGCTGTTAATAGGTTTGCACCTTTTTTCTTTGACAAGGACATGTCCATACTTCAATTTTTACATGCATCATGGCTTCAAGTAGAACTAGGGACTGGGGTGGGGAAGTAAGTGGGAGTAGGGGGGCAGGCAATTTTTTATGTGAATTTTGATATGAAGAGAAATTAGTCACTTATTTATACGATAGGCTTGACTCAAGTGTTTTTCAAAGTCGGTATTCCTAATGTGAAATGTGATACTATTTTATTTTTAGTAGTAAATTTGGATGTAGACTGACAGACATAGCTGAATGTCTTAATAAATTACATTTGAAGATTTTTACACCTGGTTATGTGATTCTTGTACTGAAATTCCATAAATTAAGTATGTGTTGAGAGGCTCTTCTGCAATAGCAGCTCTCTATTCCCCTTGGAGATCAGTGGAAACTCTGATGCACGCACTCTCCCCCATTTCCATTTCAATGCTGTGTGTCACGGTGGTACCTCCTGGCCTCCTCTGGTTCTTGCCACCAGGTCTTCGCCAATACAGACAGAAAAACTGGAGGCACATCTGCTCCTGCAGGCCTTGTGGGTGGGCTGCCTGCTGCTACTGAGCCCCAAGCAAAACCCAAACCTATTTCCTTCTCACCTAGCACGATGGAAATAGCGGTTACACCATCCTTTGATTCTGTATCTCAGTTTTGTTTTCTTGCATGTTGATCAGAAGTTAGGTTTACCATATGCTTCACTGGTCATTGCAAAGCTTTTATTAAGGGCTGGGTGGGGTTGGCGAGGGGGGAAATTGTGAGAAATTTTTTCTTGAACTCTTTAACTTCTGTTAATTGGTGGTCTGGGTCCTGCTCTTCCATACCTGCATTTCTGTGGAATTGAATCTTTCTCAAAAATATGTTTTGTATGTGTCCAAGCTTTTAAGCTACATTATTGAGACTGTTTCCATTCTAGCTACACTTAAAAGTCTGTGGGGGCAGGAAATGGGGAATTTCTGGGCAGCACTGTTACGGGGTGCTCTTTAGTATTGTGAAACAAAGACTTCCCCTCAGTTCACAGAATGTGTTCTTGAAGGATACTCCGTTAAACTCCCCCGGGTGCAGAAAGATGGCCTCAAGTTCCTCGCACCAGCGACAGGAAGTTTTTCCTTTGTGTTAAGATCACCTCACTTCCATGTTAAGGAGCAAGCAGTACCCCGTGTGATTGGGAAGAGGACGTGAGGAGAGCAGCTAGGCTTGGTCATGCTGGTGAAATGAAAAATTCGGATACTTTCAGTGAATGCAAGGCAGGAGAAGAACTTGTGCTTCTCTACGGTATTCACATGAGGGCAGCAGGGAATCACAGGGGTCATCAACTCCAGTTCATTGCTGTCCCACACAGTATGTCACATCATCACTTTCATAAATATAGGAAGTGGTGTTGAAAAAGTAACAAAAAAATAAGATTTGCCTTCACTGCTTATGCTGAGAAGCTGCTCCTCAGCCTGACTGATCTCTTGGCAATGAACCTTTTAATTTCTGCCCTAAATTATTCATAGCTAATTGGTGATGCAAAAGCTAAAGAGGAAAGGGCTATGGATTTACACCGACACCGGTAAGACGTGAGTGTGCCTGGAGACTGCTCGTTAAGAATCAACAGGCCCACAGCAGATTCAACAAATGTGCTGTCTGCCAGGCCTGCGGATCGGAAACGTGGCTGTGGAGCTGGAAAGGAGCCTGAAGGACTAGGGAGGTATGTGCTGTCATTTAGGAGAAACGATGCTGCAAGATTCCTGC